TTATTAAAAAAGAATGAACCGATTTCATGATGCATTGCTTCAGTTCTCAAGCATCGTCATGGAATGAGTCAGTGACCGTTTGAAAGAAGAGTTTTCTGAGTTTTCAATGGCTGCAAAGGGGTCCTGTAGTCACGTCGTATGTCTGGCAATGTTCAGTTGTTTGTTTATCCCCGGAATGGTGAGTCCTCAGCAAAAGGCGTTCTGTGTTCTAGAGTTCACCAGTTGTCACGGTGCAGCATGCTTTTTGAAGGTAATTCAACATTAATCCGCCTTCTCCTAAGAACATTGGTTTAAACAGTTTCAAGAGAGTGGATGTCTGTGTAAAGAAAAAAGTCCAGGATAACTATGAGTGTCAGAGGAACAAGTGGCGAGAATCCATGTTGCATTTGAGGGGAGTCAATGAAAGTCCACAAATCGAGCTAGCCGTGAGCTTGCAATCTCTTAATCCACTATCTGGCATGTGCCAAGAAGATGTCTACATTTGAAACTTACAGACTACACCTTGTTCAGGCACTTAACAAGACCTTGTTCTTTGTGTTTGGCCTGCAAGAACCCCAGACCTCACTGTGTGGTTTTTTTCATGTGGAGATACGTAAAAGATTTATGTTCTACCGCTACCCACTAAGCTCGATGAACTTAAACGCCAAATAACAGCAGTGATCAACTAAGTGGTTTGTGATATGCTGATACATTGATACAATGGGTGGCCACATTGAACACTTGAAAGACAGGAAATAATAGTTGATTGTGAGTAAAATACTTGTGACTTAGATGGAGTTTTCTATTACTTTTAATTATTAAAATATTGTATAATGAAATTGGTTTATTCTTTTTGAATAACCATGTAGTTTTTGTTCACTGGAAAAAAAGAAAAGGGAAACATTTATGTGTATGTGTGTCTGTATGCCACATGGTTTGGTGAAATTAAGTAGTCAGCTTGTCTAGCTGCTGTCTCTCTAGAGGGAAAGTGTCATGTATTGCTATTACTTCATACTTTTCTTTTTATACCACCTAACTCCACTTATCCAGCAGGCATTTGGTGAAATCTCTTGACCAACAAGGTGGGATAATCTCACAGGTTATTAAGCAAAATTTGTCATATCTGAGATTTATTTGCTGTGAAGTAAAAAGCTTGGTGAATATTGCTAGATCTAGTGAGTCCATAATTTTTGCCTAGGGTTGCATATACATTATTTACATTTAGACTATTATCCTGTGAATGTCAAATTCTCCAAAACTTCATTATGTTTTCTAAGAATTTCAACCCTTTATTCTGAATATAAACTTTATTTTTGTTTTCATTATACTTAAAACTTCCCTGTTACTCACATATTCTGTCCATGGCATTCTCAGCATACTTCTTTAGAACCACTGCTTATGGCCATATCATGTTGAAACAGTGGTTTTCATACAATCAGTAAAGTTGAGACTGGTCAGTACCTAAATTGGTGACTGCTTAGTAATATCAGCTACTGTAACCTTGGATGAGCAGGAGATTTTTTGTGATGAATTCAAGGTTAGGTGCCATTACTACTTGTATTCCAATCCCAGATCATAGTTACTGTATTGGAAAGGTTTATCTAAAGTCCTACACTTAGCAGAAGATGATTGCCTGACCTTACCTCCTTCAAAATTTACTGAGTGATATGCACATAATTCATTATTTTCTCTTCTAGTTATGCATGCTATACATTTTAGTTGTTGTTGTGTTGCTGTTGGAAATCTTTAAATGATGTATTTTTTGTTATTTGGTAAGGCTCTGTGTTTGTAATCTTGTACTACCAGTCTATAAGGTCTGATGAAGGATTGTCTTCTTTAAGACTAAGAGGATTCCTTCACATTCTTCATCATTGATCTGAGAAAACTGTTATATACAGCCAATAGCTTAGACATTTCTGAATGAAATGAATGTGATGTGCATCTGAGAGTATCACTTTGTTGAGTCCATTTTAGAACATGACTCAAATTGTAACCTAGGGAAGGTTACTGAATAGAATAATCACACGAAGGTTGGTAATGAACGATAATATTTAGGACACAAACAACACATATAAGATTCATCAGCAGCATGTAGAGAAGTAATCAACTGCTAGAAGTGAGTCAGGTGAATTCCACAATGAATCTCCAGCTGCAGATCAACATACAATATTTACTACTGTAGTTATGTGAACGGGGACATACCCATTATCGTTCGTAGGTATGCTACAACATTTTGATTTTGTAACATGTTGCATTCGTTGGACAAAATTACCCTTAGCACAACCTCATCTGTGTTCATTTTCTTTATTTCCTAGGTATGACACTATAAGATACTGAGAGGGTTAAGGTATATCCTGATAGATATACTGAGAGACAAAGCCAGATTTTATTAAATTCAGAGAGTTTGTTTTCTTTCTTGAATAAAACCGAAGGAAGGAAGTAGGGGCAACTTGAAGTAAAATGGCTTTATTGTTCTGAAGGATATAACTGTAAAGACCATCTGGATAATTAAACCTACAAGGGGTGGGAAGAAATAGTGGAAGAACATTTGAGGTTGGCCGAGAATTTTGCTAAACAAGGCAGAAATACAGAAAGGGTAGTATTGGTAGAAGATACCAATAGGAGAAGAAAGGAGTAAGCGTGGATTGATATCCTGTGACCACTATTCATAGAAGAGGGGATCTCTTCAAAATTGGGCATGTAATTAATTTCCTGGAAACAGACAACAATGGACTCTTAGCAATTAAGGGAATCACCAGAACCCCAAGCCATGTCAGACCCAATGCTAGTTTTGGGTGAAGGTCCATATATACAGAAGATCGAAGCAACTAAAGCAATAGTTGTTCCAAGAGAGAGGTGACCACTTCATCAGATTCTGCATGACTTGCTGCCTGAAGAAAACCTCCAACTTAAGCCTTGTTCCATGTTCCAGACTGAGCTCGATCAAGCAAAGTGTCACATTAACATATGAAATGGGAAGGGTCGATATTCCTGCATGAAGAATTGATAATACCAAGAACTAACCAAAATCTGTACAAAGAATGATATATAAATATTTAGAAATATAAATAAACTCAGAAAAGTTCCAGTCTTCTCTCTATTACCTGCACAAACATTTTTATCCTATTTTTTTTTATTCCTCTTGACTTCACTTTGTCCATACCAAACCAATACAGTAATTCCTGTCAACAATTTGACCCTTGCCAGCTCTGTGATCAAATCAAACATGAGACAGTGCAAAGCTTAGATCAAAGTCACCAACTCAATGGTCAGCTATGGGAATTGATCACCAAATGGGCCAATGGTTAGAGGTTGCATCTTGGTTGCCGTAGACGAGGACTGACCCTGAGGTTACATAGATATTTTAAATATTTACAATTTATTAATTCAACATTCTTACAAAGAATCTTGATATTTAAAGTTTTTTTTATATATTGGAGAACATGATATATAAATTTGTATATATCAGAACAATTTTAATCTAGTTTGTATTCACTTGTGAGATAATCAATTTCATTGTCTTTGTTGTTGGTTCTTTGATGTTTGCTTTGACAACAATAAATCTCTTCTTTTTTCCTCTTTTTCTTGTTCTCTTCTCTATCTCACATGCTCTTAACATTTGCCCACTGCAAAAAAGAAAACACTCAACTATGCAACAATTGTAGAATCTAAAATAATTTGACCTTTCCCTATTGGTAATGCAATTTTTTATTCTTTTCAACAGTCAGAAATTTGTATGTTACCAGTAAAATCTCATATTTATTTCTAAATATCCAGCTTATAAGTGGGCATCTCTTTCTTTTTTTTTCTCTCTGAATTTCTTTACATTCAATGCATGGACAAAGTTTTGTGTTGGCAGTAAGTCAGTTTTTTCTTTATTTGCTTTTTCCTTCCAAGCACAGTTAGGCATTTGAATAACAAAGTGGAAAATTTTGTGTAACATGTTAGTGAAGTTCTGAGAGGACAAAATGCATTACACAGAATTTTTCCGTTTTGGGATTCAGTTGCCTAAAATATATATGTATATTTATTTGTATGTGTGCATTATTGAATTAAATGTAATAAAGTTCATTACTTATTGAAGATCAACTCAGAGTTAATTTTTCAACCACTTTTCCGAACTCTTGACAAAAATGATAGTATTAATCACTGAAAATCTATTCTATAAACATATTTATATGCTAACATTAAAATTTTTAATTTTACAGTTGCAATTGTCAATCTTGCAAGCTCCTCACAACAAAGCTAAAAAAATTATTTTATGATATCCTTTATGTGATGTGTCCCTCCAGGACATAGGCAATCATGGTCCTCCACCACTTCCTGTCCCTTTTGTTTTTTTGGGTTTTTTTTGTTATTTCTCCAAACCCTGTTCTATTATCTATTTACTCAAGCCCATCAAGTATGTTAGATGGAATAGGAGAAGGGTGTAAAAGGATAAGTTTCTTTTGGAGAAAATATTTGAAAAACATAGCAGTAAAGAAAGCAGTCAGATCATTTGCAGGACTGGAGTTGGAAGATCAGAATGAAGATAAGACCAGACGTAGATCCTTAATAGAAAGAACCAGGTACACACCTCAAGAGAAAGAGAGATAAGATCTTGTACTATAGTTTGGAGAAGTCATAGGCTAAAAATGGACGACACCAGATTTGTTTCAGGCATAAATTTCACCAAAACTCACATATTAAATGGTCCCATTTACAGAATCAAATCTGAATAAGTCAGTCAGTACTTGGTATGGAGGAGGAACTTCTCTGTCACAGACTAGAAGACAACACAATAATTTGTATTTAATCTTATAAAATATATGTTGCTAAATTAAAATCCATTTTTTTTTATTGCAGATCTCAACAAGTGGATTCTCTGTCTGCAAATTATATGAAGGATGACTTTCTGTGAAAGAATCTTGGATAAACTTAATGACTTTGGGTTTTACCAATTTCGAATTTTACTCCTGGCCAGACTCTTTGAAATCCCTACGGCTATTGCAATGGTTATTCCTGTCCTAACTCATGCAAAAATGGACTTTCAGTGTTCATTTTTCAATCATTCTCAGAATGCCGCCGATAACAGCAGCAGCAGCATGCTTTACTCTTTCAAGCAAGATGACTTAGCTAAAAACTTCACCAGTGAGCAAACCAATCTTTCCTTTTGTGATAATTGTTGTGATCACAAATGTTTTGATATTATTTATTCCACAGAATTGACTTCTGTTGTCAGTGAGGTTTGTAATCTTTTTATTATATTCATAAGAAATTGCAGTCAAAACTTTGCTTACCAAAATAATCTTTACCTATATGATCATTATATCTTGGCTTTGTGATTGGTTTTATTTTTTATGGCTTATCGACCTTTTCAAAGTTATTTAACATGTATCATAATTCTAGTTTGTCTATGCAGGATTCTGGTGATAATGGGTATTCGTTTGTGTGCATATAAGTATCTAGTAGATATTTTCATTTTTACCAATTTTTATGAAATCCATACTTAAAGAATCTTTTTTGAAATAAAATTTGCTCACCAAATTTTATGCGATAAAAAGCTCATTTAAAAATAAAAAAAGGGGTTAAAGGTAGATAACTACAGATTCAAAGTCAGAATATTATCATTGATAACTCTCTCCTCTAATTTGCAGAGCCTAGTTACTATATTCTTAATACTTGATATAATGCAAAAATATCAAAATCAGTCAATAATTATTTATAACTATTTATACTGGGACTCATGCATGCAATTACAAGTAATCCATAATAATATTTTAAATTTTGAAATCATATTTATTTTTGGAATATGAATTTTTTGAAACTGTTTCTAAATCTTTGATTGTCATTCAATCATACCACCTCACCTGCTATCCTCTTCCGCTAAGCCTATGAGGTTGTTGTATTTATATTGACATAATAAAAAGGGACCACAATTGAACCAAACTAAATTTCTTTGATGCTGAAAAATAACTTATGCAAAAAGTTAATAGTGTTGTATGTAATGTATAACAAAGTGATCTGATGACTGATATGTTAGAAGAACCAAAATTTTGGCTTTTAGAAAGAGAGAATTTTGCACAAATGTAATTGGGAAAGAATTTAATGCTGTTTTTTGAAGCAATTTTAAAAAAAGATGCAAAATGAAAGCTCAAGAAGAATACATAAGTTCCCCACTAAATAAATACTTCGGCATGATTGGCCATGTCGTTAATCATAAAAATTCATCACTTGACAATTGAAGAAGTACCAAATTTATGGCAACTATTAAGATTGTAATTCTTAGAAGACTTCTTTAAGACTAGTCATCCAACCTTCAAATATGACCTGTTAGAATATATATAGATAAGGTTGGGGTAGAGAAGAAATGGGTTTATATTTATAGGTAAAATTTAATCAATATCTGGAATTGAACTCATATCTAAATATAAAAGTATACACTGAAATCAACATTTCAGTAGTGACATCCTCTCAGGTATGGTTAAATGATTGTGTTAAACTGGGCTATATAAATGATGGATGGCAAGACTAAAGAGAATGCTTGGTTTGAATTGAAATCCATTTTGTATACAAGACAATTTTTCTCTTCAGAATCTATCTTACATATCTATAAGTCTACAATTCGCCCATCTTTAGAATATTGCTACCGCCTATGGTCCAGCACCCCTGCTATTTAGCTTAAGCTTCTTGATAAGAAGAATCAACAATATTATTGATCCTGATCTGGTGGCTTGGCTTCAGTCACTTTCACAATGCTATAAGGTTGCCTCTCCATGTCTTTTCTATAACTACTTTCTTGGTAATTGTTTGAATGCCCTCTTTACTGTGGTACCTAGACTTTTAGAATTTAAGCACAGTACAAGACTAGTGTTGACAGCTCACCAAATGTAACTGTAAATTCTATGCTAACACTTTCTTTTTTCACACTTTTTACTTGTGGACCTCTCTTCAGCTTGCTGCTTTCCAGCCAACTTTAATCTGCAATAATTTCAATGCAATGTTAATTGCTATCTACTGTCCTCCTGATTACTCATTCTCCTTTCTACTCATTATTAATGTTCCTGTTCATAATTCCTTCATACCCTGTACTTAGAAGACAAGTTTGTTTTAGTCTTTAAACTGTTTTATATGATAAAATATGATAGTTGATAAATAATATATATAAGGAAGTAATAAATCTTTTTAATTATTAGTCCAACAGATTTTTATTAATTTTAACATTATTTTCAAAATAGATAAAAATAAGTATACATCTTAAAATAAATGGAATGTCTACTTAAATATTGATGTCCATTTAAAGATAACATTTTTTATATACAATCTACTTGCATATTTTAGATCTACCATTTGTCCATATAAATAGTAACTTTATTGTCCATGCTGCTATTTACAAAAGTACATTTCCATAAAAAAAAAATTGACAATAATTCAACAAACAGATCTGGCTAGCTTCAGTCCTTTGACAATTTTTTGTTTCCATGATGATCATATAAAGAAAGATATTTGTTTGGAAGTCATTAAAAATAAAAATATAAAAAGAAAACTAGTGCAAAAGAAATAAAAAGTATTTCATTATCAACCTGGTCTTGTTACAATAACATGAAGTATGTTTGCTTTGAATGATGTTAAGTAATGCTTCACATTACCATAACAACAGAATATCTGATATAAAAATTCTGCTTTGCAAATAATTAAAAAGGAGAAACATCCAAAGTATGCTAACAAGCCATAAAAGAAGTAAGCAGCAATGTATTAACAACCTAATCTCCCTACTTAGTAAACATTTCATTGTTATAATGTGGGATGTTTCTTTAAAGTATAAATGTTTTGATGCTTTGCATTGCCATAATATATATATATATATATCTTATTATATATATATATATATATATATCAGTTATTCTTTTTAATTATTAATCCAACAGATTTTTATCAATTTAAACATTAGCAAAAATAGATGAAAATTTGAATTCATACAGTTTAAAATTCATTACATTCAAATAAATGTTAATACTAAAGATAACGTTTAGTTATATACAACACACTTCTCTCACACACTATGGATAAATAGTAGGACACACTGGGTTCTAACTGCCTTACATGCTATTTTACAAAGGAGAAGGAAAATTTAAAACTTCAAATTTAAATTTCCATTCAATAAGCAATTCTACTATACCTCCATTGGAAAGGATCGTTTTCATTGTCCTGATGATTAAATCCTGATATTTTGGTCAACTCCTCATTAAAAAATAAAACATAAAAAAGAAAATTATTATAAAGTAGATAAAAACTGAAACATTTTTTTTATAAATACAATTCATGTATTATCATTAATAGCATAAGCTAATCACTTAGTTGAACTTGGCTATTTCATAATAACTGATATTGTACAACTGCTGTTTTGATACTAATAATCCTAATGCATCTGGGATTGCTAACCTAGTGTTTATAAAAAAAAAGCATTCTAACTGTATAAGATTATGGGATTATTTATGGAAACATTATATTTTATAACATAGTGCCAAATTGCTTTATTAATGCTTTTTGCCTAAGATCAATGGAACATCTATATTCAGTCTTTGATCAGGTTAGTATGAGTTCTCTGCTTTAGTATTTACAAGTTAATTTTACGATGATATTCAAAAAAGTAGGAATGTTTGAATATAGTGGATATGTTCCTAATATTCTTACATATGAATCAGACATTTTTCTCCCTGGCTATGAATAAATTGTTAAGAAATATGGGTTCTATAGCTTTATGGCAACTTTTTTAGGAGAAGGAAAATTCTAAACAAAACAGATTTATTATTTACATTGATGATTTTAAGGCTGGATTCACTTGTTAATTTTATGTATCTTTTTGGTTTAAGGTGAAAGAATTTATGGACATAGAAACAAAGAAAGACAGAAAAAATCACATTATTCATTATTATACATGACAAAGATTAAAGGTGATAAATCACTTGTTAATTTTTTTATATCTGTTTTAGAATGACAGAAGTTATGGACAAAGAAACAGACAAAAAATGTCATATTGCTATATGATTTTTGAATGTACATGTGTAAACAATGTTTTTCAAGCAGTGGGAAATGCCAGTTAAATTAATGTGCAATTCACAAAGTTTATCAAAAAACATTTCATGCTTTGTAACTGAATTTTCTTTATCTTTCTCTGTTTTATTTTATTTTTTTTTTTTTTTTAACACCAGTGGAACCTAATATGTGACAAAGATTTTGTAACAAATTTCCTAAACACTGTGACCATGGTTGGCCTTTTCTTTGGTGGATTTGTTGCTGGTCAGTTATCTGACCAATATGGCCGTAAAAAGGTGCTGTATAGTAGTTTTATTTTGTTGTTGGTTTTCCAATTGATAAGTGGTATGGTTAACTCCTGGCAGATTTACTGTGTGTGCCGTTTCTTCATTGGAACTCTCATTTCAAGTAAGTATAGAAAAATGTCTTTTTTTTCTTTTGTCTTAACATTTAATGTAAACAAAATTACAAAATCACTGATTTTATATTTTGGATTTTTCAAACACGTTTGTTTTACCATTTATAACTGCACAGGAAAGTAGGGAAATTCATCAAATGAACAACATCAGACCCTAAAATGTTTTAGAAATTTGTAAATGTTTACATTGTTTGTGACATTTGCAGAATTTCCAACTGGCATTTCATACTGTTTATATCAAAAAGAAAACAAAATGGGGAAAATTTTTTGGAAATTCTCCAGATTAACATTCTTTAGATTTGTCAGAATAAATTTTTAATTTCATGCATGGGTCCTACATCAGGTGCCTTGAGGAGATAGTGCTACCCTGGGTTAAGAAGATGGCTGCTGGAAGACCCTATGTCTAGAAACAGGACTCTGCACCATGCCACACAAGCAGGACAACACAGTCATGGCCGTTGAAAAATTTCTGTGATTATGCATATCTCTTACATCTGGTTACCAATCTTCCAGACTGCAACCCTCTTGATTATTATGTGTGGGGCGCAGTTGAGCATGAGACCAGCAAAACTCTTTGTAATGCCAAAG